TTTCATAAACATCATTTCTTTAGAAATGACTACGCGATATGTTTATTACGTTCTTTCATAATTTTTTTCTCTAATTTAAATAGACTGCTTCGGAGAGTATATGTATCGTCTGATTCATTAAAACAACCACACGTAAATAGTTTAGTCATCCTGTTTGTCTGTTTTAATTTCATCTGTAACATAAATATCTTTTCATATTTTGAAATTATTGTAGAGAATATATATACATAGTTATTGATATTGCAAAGCATAAATTTGATTTCAACAGACTGTTGTTTTCTTTCGTTAATGAATAGCGAATGCGTGTTGTCTGTAATGTTTACTTTAAATAAATTAAATTTCATGCCAAACGATATTAATATTTAGAAAGATAAATAACACTGAATTAGTGAATTTCGTAAACAGTTGATTATTATTATTATTATTATTATTATTGTTATAGATTCTACTGTTTTTGTTCACTTTCTGGTGGACTATACAACACGCTACAATTTACTATTGACAGTGTCATCACGAATCAAAATATATTCAATCTGCTTGGAAAATTTAAAATGAAATGTAACTAAAAGGCTGGACTATAGTATTAGCTAAGATCATACAGACGGTTACAGTCACAAAGTTTATTGAAATGTTGAATTCCTTGGAAGGTATTTCATACTGATAACATGATCTACTCACACAGAGTTTGATCATGGCAGAGAATTTACATTGGAGAAATTTAACTACTCATTAGTAGCTAAAATTTACACATCAGCCAACGATTTTGACTGACTGTTAGTGTAATATTTTCTTTGCATTAAGGTTGATTAATAATTTTCATCATAATCAGTTAAGGTGATATAATTCAATTGTTAGACAACTAAAATTTTCAAAGAAAGCTAATTTCAACTGACACATCTTGTTTATTCGAACACAAATGAAAAGCCCTAAATTCTAATTACAACGTTACGATACTTCACAGCTCAGTTTGTTGAACATCCAATCTATCCAACCCTGTGAACAATTTGATCCGTTTTCTGATCAATTTTGCGAGTTTCTATTTAAATTCTCTCATCACGAAATAAACAAAACAACTTGACTGAAAAAAATATTTCTTTAGAACAATTGGATAGAAAAGAATTTAAGTATTTACTCGACAAACTGGGTGCATTTCTATCAGAAATTGATAAATCTTTAATCCAACAATTTTTACTGACTAACAAATCAAATAAAATAATTCACTATTTCTGGACTGACATATTTTAACTAATTTTCATCCAACTGTTAGTATCATTAGCTTATGGAGTGATGATATGATGTTTTTTCTATTGAATTCAATGTTCAGGAGCTTCCTTTTCAATAAGAATAAAACTCAATAAAATGAAAACTTTTTAGAATTTTAAGTCACAAATCATCATTATGAAGATTTCCTTTTGTCCATATGTGTAAGTAGTATATCTTACTTATTAACTGTCTTATTGACAGTAATTTTATAAATTTCATAAACTATGTTTAAAATGTTGTTCAAAATGCAAAAAGTGTCTTATCAATTGATTAATGCAAAAAAAAGATTTTAATTCATAGACAGCTTCAATTTACAAAAATTACATTAAAGTTGTTCTAAGATGGATTATTTTGTGAGTTAACATCAATTTTATAAGCTTGCAGAATAACTGTTGAGATGCTTTCATCCACGACTTTTACGATGATCGGTATTAGGAATTTCATATTTAGATTGATAGCTCGAAATCCAATATTCTATAAATGTAACATCACTTATATTTAAATATGGGATAAAATTCATTAAAAAGTATTAATAAAACAAACTTTTAATCGACAAATTTTCGCACATATTCTATAAAAATAACATTTCATTTGAAATGTTTATTATATACCGCCTGTAATCTGAATGTTGTGAAAATATTAAAAGACATTGAAAGTATGAAAAAACCATTAGATTTATGGTATCAATATATAAAATATTTAGTTCACTTATATTCGGTCTATGACACACTCATTACTTTGACTTTTCTGTTCAGTTTCGTTCAAATGACATGCATAATTAAACAAACTTCACAATCTTTCAAATTAAATTTGTGTACTGTTAAATTTTATTTTAGTACAACAGATCAGTAATAACTTTTTAACTGAATAACAGAGAAAAATAATTCTATGATTAAAAGAATTGTTTGTTTTTGTAGATTTCATCCATTTTGAAGTTATTTCTCACCTCTATGGTTTTTGTTGTATTTGTGCCATGAAATCCTATAGGCAATTCTTAGGAAAACTTGTGAATAAATTCCAAGCGAATTTCCAGTCTCATTGAAATCATGTATCACCATTAGAAACCTGGAAGCACTAGACAGCCGTTTAGTCCTAGCATGCGAGTCATCAGCTGTACACATCCACTACCCAGAAAGCGCAAAGAGAACCCAGAACCGTCAGTTTCGTGTGTAAACTCTAGACCCTTTGACCACTGAGCCGGCATCCAACGGTATTAATGTATAACTACAATCGATCCACGATATTGCTTAACCTCAACCATTTTCTTCGGTAGATATGGTTGAACTCCACTGCTCACGGTTTCTCATTAGAACACCGAGAATTTCCTCACAAAGCTAGTTACTAGTAAGCATGATTAAGTTTGTGATTCCATAAGCAAACGTTGATATTCATTATTTGTTTGCTGGATTTATATTCGCTTATGCAAATTACCGTTTTTGGAATATTAATAATAATAGTAACATTTAGAATTGATTGACTGAAATTATTTTCATACACATCGTTCACTTTATCATCTTGAAGACGGCAAACACAAAGATTAGAACAGAATAAGATAAATTTTATTTTATCTCGTAATATTTTGTAATATTTAAAATCATAATTATAAATTCCAGTTAAATTACTCATGTGAACGAGTTTAGTTGGGAGTTGCTACGATCATACATCAGTATTAGTAAAGCAAGAGTGTGAATAATTTTGATAAACTAAATAAAAGATTGTAGACAGATACTTTTTATACAGAAGAACATTCTATAACATTGATACTAACAAAATCTAAAGGTCTAGAACCAACTATACTGATGTATAATCGTAGCGAATTTCAACTAAACGTTTGCATGTAAGTAATTTAAATACAATTTGTAATTGTGATTTTAGTTATCACAGAATGTAAGCAGCTGACCTGAATCAAATAAAATAAAATGAATTCACTACTATCTGAAGTTTGTGTTGATGATGTCGCTCAGAAGAACAATGAAAGTTTCACAACCGAAACATCAAGCTCAGAAAACGAAACACCACCACAATTATCCGCTTGAGCTACAAATTTTCTCCACCATCTCAAAATGAATTCATCTTATTCTACTGAAATCTTTGTGTTTACTCTCTTCAAGAAGCTATTTTTGATATAAAAAAAGAAAAGCAGTTTTTTTCCAGAATTATTTTAAAAACACAAAAATTCTACAACTAATGGTGAAGTATAAACGAAACTTACTAACTAATAATTTATGTGTAGTTATCAATTGAACAATAAGATTTTTCATCACAGTGTTGTGAAGATTGTCGAGTTACACATTTGAAATCATGAATCGATCAATGCTAGACCACCATTAGAAACCTGGAAGCACTGGATGGCCGTTTCGTCCTGGTATGGGACTCATCAGCAGTGTATATCAATTTATAAATGAATTTCATAAAAACTATACATTTCTATGCATTTTTTTCGCATTAAACATTTTCATCTCTTCAGGGAACACCTAAAGCAGTTGAAGTTTAAAATATGACTTTAATACTTAGTAAGCAGTGATTCCTCACAGAATCTCTTCTTTACATTCCCATTCAAAATTTCATGAAAGTTAACTGATTCTAGATAATCGAAATTATTCTTTTCATGATTTTGTGCCGTAACTCTATTCATTGAAGTAATCGTTGTTAAAATTAACTTATTTCGTAAACATAGTTGAACCTTATGTATACTTACAAAATGATATTTATTTTAACAGCATTAGTAATCTAATGTTTATGGGCCAACTTTGATGGCTTATAACACTGATGCATATATAATATCTCATTAATTTAAACACTGGGACTGCACAGATATGATTTAAAATAAATACTTCTTCTGTTAATCAAACATAAAAGTCTACTTATTAATCTATTGTATCAAGTTATTGGAAATTTCTTGAGACAAACACACTCAAATCAGTATGTTCATTAAAATGTTCTCCATTGACGATCAACACATTCAAAGGTGAATTCATGAACTAGGGCTTTTTTGCATGAAATTTATTAACATAACTAAATCAAAAATAAAATACTGTTAAATTACTAACGAAATAAGTTTTGTTTTACTTATTCTCTATCATCAATAGTTCAATATCAATTAATTCAGGAGTAGTTTGGATAAATTTTAAATCATATTACCAACCTACCTACATACATACACCCCAGTTGTACCTTGAAGTTATTGTTAACTGATACGAAATATCACATCGTGATATTTTATTGTTTAATTATTTGAAATATTACATTAGAATACAGTAACCGAAACTCAAATGACTATATAAATATTTAACTGATTGTTGTGGTGTTTAGTTCTCTGAGCTGGATGTTTTGGTTGTGGAGCTTTCATTGTTCTTCTGAACAACATTATCAGCACAAACTTTAGATAGAAGTGAAGTATTCGAATTTCTCCACGTTTGACGTTTGTGCTGATGATGGTGTTCTGAAGTACAACGCAAGCTCCACAACCGAAATATCCAGCTAAGAGAACAAAACATCACAACAGTCGTCCACCTGAGCTACAAATTTTCTGCAGCTTATTTTTACAGATGCTAGAGCGAACACTGATACGTGTATTTATTCAACAATAAAAACAAAACACTAGAGTAATTTTAAAAATAGTAATTGTAATATTGATGAAGAGTTCAAAAGAATTACTCTTACAGTAAGTACTTATTATCATTAACAGTAATAATTAAGCATTTTTTTTAAAAAAATCACTGACTTTAATAAATAATTCGCATAAGTATTTATGTATCTTTTTTATTATTCTATTTTTACCTTGTAACAATAATCATGATGATGATGATGAGAATAATATCTTTGAAATGTTTACAAAAGAATTAACACATGTGTTGATTCAATATTGTCCATAGTTATGCGAATACATTGTTTTTCAAAAACAAAAAAAAACTTTCATTGTTTACATTTCCTCTCTCTGTCTCTCTCTCTCTCTCTGACTAACCATATCTCATAACATTGGGTAATCCTCGTGGAGGTTCCGCTTTTAATCGTCTCAATTCTTCATCAATATTTCTTTGTGGTTTCAAATATAAATACGATTCAGACCATGTTGGATAATAGTCAAGATCTGGTCCAACAAATTGTCTTCTTGCTAACACCGGTGCTGCTGCTGATGATGCTGATGGCGGTGCGGAATTGGATGCAGTGGCAGCGATTGCAGCTTGTTCCGTTAGAATAGCTTCGGACAATGTTAATGGATAAGGCCAATTAATTGTTCTCAAATTTGTATAATAACATTGAACATGACATTTACATAATAGAAATATCAAGTAAAATAACAATAATTTTAAATAAGTAAACATTATTATTATTATTTTTATTATTATTCTTTGAAATAGCTTCTTTTTCAAAAATGTATATATATTTATATTTATTATTATTAAATGAATACATTGATAATTGTTGTATTATTAACAACACCCACGCATTGATATGGCATATGGTTATTTTTTTTCCACTGGTTTATTAATAAGCCAATAACAATTTTTCAAAATTTTTGAAACTAATTTTTTAAAAAGTCTAATCAGATTAAGTATTTCGATATATTTGTTAGAATTATAAAAATCTACACAAATAGAAGGGAAATATGATGAGTTTATGCGAGTTTATTTGTAAAAGGCTTATTAGTTTTAAATCATAGGCCGATCAATGATAGATAACCATTGAAAATCAAGGGTTATATTATTAGACATCTATCTAGTCTTGTTATCTCAAACTAGATGAAGTTGGATAAGCGAACTCTTAGAAAATAATTTAGTCGTTCAAAGGCAATGAATGACCAGGATATAGTGTCTTAAAGTTCTAAGTTCAATGCTTGGTAAGGTCATGGATTCATACTACGTAAGAGAATCTTACTTGAGAGAAACAGTTATCTGATTCTCTTAGTGTTTCATCATTTATGTGGTCAATAATTATCTATGATATAAATGGTCTCTAAATTTAATAAACTTGACTAATCTCCTGTTCTCCTATTCAAACTGATGATAAACACCGAAAAAATATTTTACTTCATTATAAAGTTATGAAGATAGTTGAGTTTCATTGAAATCATCAATTGATCAATGTTAAACCACCTGGAAGTACTAGACGTCCGTTTCGTCCTAGTTCGAAACTCATCAACAGTGCGCATCCAGTAGTAAGCAAGCGAGAACAGAACAGGCTGCCCAATACTTTATACTGCTTGGAGTTATATAGATATAAGCTCGAGAGTCCAGAGGTTAACCGTTTGTGTAGGAGATTGATTCGCGTGTTCAGGGATTGTGGATGTTTGCTGCTGATGAGTACTAGAACGAAACGTCGATTTAGTACTTTGAGGTTTCTACTGGTAATCTAACATAGATCGATCCATGATTTCAATTAAAGAAATATATAAGATTCATCATTTACTTAATAACTGGAAATAACATAATAAATTCAACAGAATTATTACAGTCAATCAGTCAGTTAGTCAACAACAACAACATAGAACTTTCTAGGTACGTACATCAGTTCAAGTTGCCATTCCTGATTAGCACAAAGATAAATGTTACATCTTCCATTCAATTGCAAAGTAAACATCATCTTGCTAGTAAAAAGCTTTTTTTTCTCAAATATTCCGATTGTTTTGTTCTATACTTCCATTATTTATTAAATTTCATTGATGAATTATAAATTGTATTAGACTTTTCACTATATAATGAATGACATGCCTTTCCCATTGATACAAATATGTGGAATTCTTTCTTCAAAGCAATTTATTCACTTCATTTTTTCTATTATATATTATCTAAAAGCTCATGTTTTAGAGTACAAAAACATCCATCTTTTTATTTGTCAATTGGGCAGTTATAATAAAATTTGACAATCAAATTCAATTTATCGAAGTATCACAGTAAACCATAACAAATACACATTAATAATTCTGTTCATGGTTAACATTGTTCACTTGACATTTACTGTAATGCGATGACATGTTGTTGATTGATGAATCAGGTTTTTAGTGAACATTTCCTACAACAAATAGTTTTTTTCTTTTAAATTATTCAGATTTATATTAAATTTTAAATTTTGTCGAACAAATTTAATTTGGTATAGTGAATAAAAAATATTCGACCTTATCAATAAATAAATGTAATTTCTAATGTCTAATCACTTACAATATTAATAACTATAATCATTATTATGATAACATTAATAATAATAGTAATAATTATGTATACCATCATAGTACAAGCAACAATGAGCTGTATGACATATTCGATCAGGAGATTTAGCCTTGCATAGAAAATCCGTTTCATCTACCTAATAATTTGTATGAGGCTGACCATTGTCAGTTTTACATAAACTAATTATAAATGCTTATAATGGCCTATTTAAGATTTATTCGCGAATTAATAACATAATCTCATGCTTAAATCTATGGCAGTTTAGTAAAATTTTCACAAATCAACTGCTGATAACACATTCTACTAGGTTGGATTAGATTTCAGTTGACCTTATCTTTTAAAATACAGTTTATTGTTATATCGACCTTAGCTACAAACATTATATTCCTTATTTAATAGAATGAAGAATCACTAATAAGTATTTCATGTGCTTTAAATCTGATACTGTTAAACACACCGAAATTACAAATATTCCTTAATTAGGAATAAAAAATTATTTTATGCGATAGGATTACTGTACAATTGTTAGTTGTATGGTATCTGTATGACATATTATTAATTACGGGGTTGTGAAGATTGTTAAGTTACAGATTTGAAATCATGAATCGATCAAAGTTAGACCACCATTAGAAACCTGGAAGCACTGGACGACCATTTCGTCCTGGTCTGGGACTCATCAACAGTGCACATCCACGACTCCTGCAATTCACAGGTCCTGGATTCTAATCCTGCGTAGTGCAGGAGTCGTGGATGTGCACTGTTGATGAGTCCCAGACCAGGACGAAATGGTCATCCAGTGCTTTCAGGCTTCTAATGTTGGTCTAACTTTGATCGATTCATGATTTCAAATATTATAATTAGTCAAGTGTAAATGTACTTTAAACCGTTTCTCATATTAAAGGAATATTTATTTGAATTATGTTTAATCGACTTTCAGGAACTTGAAAAATAATTTTTATTTCCCGATAGATGTATCTGTATTACGGGGTCGTGAAGATTGTTAAGTTACACATTTTTGAAACCATGAATCCATCAATGTTAGACCACCATTAGAAACCTGGAAGCACTGGACGGCCGTTTCGTCCGGGTACGAGACTCCTCAGCAGTGCGCATCCACGACTCCTGCACCCCGCAGGATTTGAACCCAGGACCTTCGGTATTGTAGGCGAACGTGGTTAGGTACCGGCTCAGTGGTCTGATGGCTAGACGTTCGCCTACAATACCGAAGGTCCTGGGTTCGAGTCCCGCTGGGTGCAGGAGTTGTGGTAGACACATTTGTAACAGAATAATAGCAAAGTGACATTAATTCATCTGTGCGACGGTTTTACATACTCCCCATAATTTGATATGATTTAAGAATTATTTATATATTTTTCCACACTTTGAAGTCTTCTAAATACAATTTATCAATGGTCAGTTCAATGATTCGATGAACTGATTGTGGCAAAAACTCAGTTATCGGCAAATTACACTAGCTGTTTTTTAAGTTGCAATTTGAGTCATTTCATATCGGATATTCTCCGTTATTTTGCATGTCTACATTACTAATATATTGGTTAATAACTAAATTTTTATTTCATTTTTCGAATGTAATATACCGTAATTGAAATACTTGGTTAGTCAGAAGATATCAGGTATTGATGTATAGCGGTTCAAGAAATTAGACTATTCAACACCACTGAAACAATTTCCAGAAAAATCTTGAAAAAAAATTATTTTTTTAATCAATAAAATCACAGAAATCCCACATCCAATCAAAACTAAATGGCTTCCATTGAATTGTAACTGACCAAATCTTACATAAGAATGATTTGCAACCAATTAAATAATTATTTTAGTGGAAAAAAAGAGTGCCCAAGGGCAAATGCATATATTTTAATAACATTTAAACCTATCACTACTTTTTTATTATTCATAGTTAGATCGTCTAAATTTATCCTAAGGCGTAGTAAAATAGCTGCTGTCTGTTTAATGTCAGCCAAAAATATTAACTGTTCTCCTAATATTATTTTGTTACTTCACAAAACTCAACTTAATAGTATATTCTGACCTGTTAGCTACCGTTATTCATGAATAATGTCTTCAAACTGCTTAATTGTAAAATAGTTGTGTTGAATATATGGATTGTGGCTAACAGTGGGATCTAGGACGAGCGTTTCGTCCTATTTGGTAAACGTCAGCTGGATGTACCTGTATCTCTAAGTTGATTTTCGCTTCACGACTCGAACCCAGTACCATATATTTCAAATGTCATCGTGTTATCCATTCCAGATTACCATAGACTTGTGCAATGGAGTGATAATTAGTTCATTTGTACTGGTGTTTAAAATCTTTCCACTGATGTTTAAGACTGTGACTTATCAGTCACTGCTAGCCACGCTAATAAGGCTTCTGACCTCATGAAAATATCCAAACAATCCCCATAGGATGCACTTATGTCAAGGTTACTGATTAACTGCAGTTCTAAACGTCAATGGGAAAATTCAAACGAACGATACAAAAACATTGGTGTTCGTTAAAAATATCTTTATATAGAGTGAAACAAATAACACATTCTCGTTATCTTATGTAAAAGTTGTCCCCTGTTTTATCCAGTACAGACTAACTACTGCTCATTATATCCAAATATACCTTTTAACCGGTTTTCAGTTAAATTCTTTATCTATTTCGTACCTAACCAATCGACATTTAAGTCATAAAATTATTCCATGGAAACAGTTCTAGTCCTTGTTGAATTGAGAACAGTTTTTTTCTTGTTTATTCTATCAGCTTAGTTGATATTTAGTAACTTCTTCCTGTAAATGAAAACAGGTTTTTTTGTTCGTGTGAAGAAATATGTTTAGACATGCAGACTTTGATATTAAATTTAGTGTAGATATCAATAAAAAAAACAAGCTACATCTTTTAATGAGTTTTCAACGTAATGTGGCCTAGATTGGCATCACTGGCTAGTTTTGTTTTATTCTGAGTTCGGATGAGATTTTGAGATGGTGAAGAAAATTCGTAGCTCAAGTGGATGATTGTGGTTGTATTTGGTTCTCTGAGCTGGATGCTTTGGTTGTGGTGCTTTCATTGTCCTTCTGAACAACATCATCAGCAGAAACTTCAGATTGAAGTGAAGCATTCGAATTTCCTCACGTATGAACCGTAGGTTGTTCTGTTAACCTCGGTCTTGATTGG